CCAAGAGCTTTCATATTGAATAATCGAGAATCACAACTGAATAGCGGAAGCGTACTTGATGGATTCATGTTGACTGATTAATTAAATTTTGGATTTGGAAAATCTTCCAAAAGACCATGAACCTTATTATTTTCTTCCTCAGACGTAAAAGAAAGAAAACTGAATTTTCTGATGATTCTTTGATGCCTCCATCAACCCCTTTTTATTCATGATTAGTGATAGTCATACATTTAATAGGAAGTGTCAGCAACAAACAACTTCCAACTACTACCAATATTTTTTTTTTTTTTTTTTTNNNNTTTTTTTTTTTTTTTTATTCCTTATGGGTTATCCGAATGGGCATCACTTTATTTTCACGGCTTTTGGGGACTCCATCCATGAATAATTTTGACCCAAATTATAAGTTATTTAGGTCCTTTAGTTTAATATTATTATTTGTTACGTCATCAAATAATAATATTACCGGGTGTGCACATTTACTCATTCCACAATCTAAATTAAGTTCTTTAGCCAATGTACAATAATTTGATCACTTTATTTTTGGCTAAACAATATAATAACCCAATGTATTAATTACACATATTTAATCCCAAATAGATCTAACAGAAACTACTAGATGACATTCTTTAAGCCTAACTGGCATATACTAAATTCAAAATTTTCAATAAATAATAAAATTTAAGAATATGCAGACTTAAATGTAATGTATTATAATATTATAAAGTTAATCATAAAACTAATATTCTATCTGTGCTTTGTTCAAAATGTGTAACCCACGATCAGCGATTTACAAACACATTACCATTCCGTTATCACCTATACTAGTACAACTCCCGTATATTACACGGGTGCTTGCTAATTTTTTTCTTAAAATTTAAAATTAAGGAGAAAAAATATTTAAGAATTTAAATACCTTTTATAAAAAATATATATTATTATATATTTAGTATGACACTTTTTATTTGTGAGACTTACTTGTGTTATATTATAATAATTTTTTTAACTTACAACATATAACTACATTAAACATAAATATATCAATAGAGAAATAATTTATTTTTCTAATAAATTTTAATAAATATAATTATTTATTATTATTATTATAAATATAAATATAATTTATTTATTTCAATATATATAATATGGATGTCAAATCGAAGATCATCAAAAGATGATTAATTTGATATATTATATATGTAAAACCGATAAGAAATACAAAAGTTATCAACTTTTAAAATAAATTTATAATTCAATAGCTAATTGAAGGAAACAAATTAAAAGTAAAGGGATATATTAGTCACTTAGTGTCTCACAATGTAAAATTACAAGGAATTAAAGGGTTATATTAGTATAAGTGATACTAAAATACCTAAGTTAGCTAAATAATATTTATGGAATGTCCAAACCTAGATTATTAATTATTAATATATCAATATTATTTGTCCAAACTTAATTACGAAGCATGATTCTTCGCCAAATAGGATTCCGAAGCACCAGAAGCAGCTACGTAGGCTCAGCGCATTCGGGAATTATATATAGGGAGGATTGGTTCGGATCTACAATTTGAATTTTTAAAGACTTTTTTAAGACTTTACAAATTTTATTGTATTTCATTTTAGGTTTGTTAAAACTTTTAAAAATCTTGGCTATTCAATTAGAATTTTAAAAAGTTACAAGATATTTGACACAAGAATTTTTTAAGACTTTTTAAGATTTCATAAAATTTTTCCGAAATCTGAAAATCTTAAAAAATCTCAATTCTTAAAAAGTCTTAAAATGTTGGATAACTACACACAATACCAGATAATTTTGGATTGTACGAGAATTGAACATAAAAAATGCCGGATAAAATACCGGTCAACAAAGAAAAAATATACTATAAAATGTAATTGAAGATATTATTAGCATAAAAAATCAAAATTTGAAATTGGTAGTTATATATTTATTTATTTCATTGATAGGTTGAGATTTAGTAAATATTTTTATATATTATTACATGTGTTGACGAGCGTTTTCGGTCAACGGTTAAAAATAAAAGATATAGAAAGCAAGACTGAAAAAGGGGAGAATAATCCGGTTTAATTACGATTTTATTAGACGATCACGAGGTCGGCCTCTCGTACGAGGTCGGCACTTGCGATATACTTGCAATTCTTACAATGAGCTTCTTACAGTTTTTAGAGAGAGAAAATAGAGAGAAGGCAAGAGTTAGTTGGAATTCAACAACCACAAAATAAATGAAGTGAGCTGCTATTTATAGTTGTCTTTAATGAGGCACTGTTCAGCTACTGTTCGCTGGTCTTGTCGCACAGTAATTTGGCAGAGCAGTTCGGCGTTTGTCTGACGGGCATTTAATGCGATTTGAGGTTTCTTCAATCATTGCCTGCCGAGCATTAAATGCCAGCATGGGGTGCATTTAATGTTGTATGGCCTTGCTGACTCATGCTGGCTGGTAGGGGTCTAGGCCATGATTACCTACCCCATCGTCCAATGATGACCTCCCAAGTGGGAATATTTTAATGCTCATTGAAACCCATGCGTCGTCCCTGGTCGGCCTCCTCGTACTTTCAGGTCGGCACTTCGTTCATAGATGCTCTTTAGACTACGAATAGTCTTCTTCCTGTTCGGCACCCATCCAGGTCGGCAGCTCCCCGGTCTGAGACGGGCGCCGGGCTGAGAATCTGTTCCCAGGACGGTTTCCCGCCCCTCTAATCCATGATCCAGCTCGGCACTTTCTCATCAGACCGGGTTTTTGGCTCGAGTCGGATGGCAACGTCTCCCCGGCTCATTCCTGGCTAACTCGGATATTAACAACATGTTTTTTTAATATAAAATTTGTATGTAATGTTATACTAGTACAACACCAGTGTATTACACGGGTGCTTGTTAAAAAAATATTCTTAAATTTTAAAATTAATGAGAAAACTATATTAAATTTAGTTTAATTTTTACAAAAAAATATATTACTATATATATGTGTTACTTATGACTTACATGTGTTATATTATATTAGTTTGGGTTAATTGCATAAAAAACCACCACCTTTTGTTTAATTTCAAATAAAACTCAACCTTTTCAATTTGGCAAAAAAATACCTAACTTTTATTAAGTGTTGCAATTTTGTCTCGTCCGCCGGACCGCCGCCGCCAACCGCCATCCGCCACTCACCAACTCTGCCGGATATTGAAAATTTTTATATGATCTTGTAGCTCTCCTCCGTGCCAACAACATATCTGAGTTTCACGAAAAAATTTCGAGGACAAGACGTCTAATTTTTCGGTCAAAGGTCGTAAAAAATTTAGATCTACGACCTTTGACCGGAAAATTGGACGTCTTATCATCGAAATTTTTTCGTGAAACACGGATATGTTGTCGGCACGGAAGAGAGCTACAAGATCATATAAAAATTTTCAATATCCAGCGAAGTTGACGGCGACGGGTGGTGGTTGGCGGCGGCGGTCCGGCGGACGAGACAAAATTGCAACACTTAATAAAAGTTAAGTATTTTTTTGTCAAATTAAAAAGGTTGAGTTTTATTTGCAATTAAACAAAAGGTGGTGGTTTTTTTATGCAATTAACCCTATTAGTTTTTATAACTTATATCATATAACTACTTGAAATAAAAATATATTAGTTGATAACTAATTTTATTTTTCTAATTAATATTAAAATTAATTTTATTATTGTTATAAAGATAAATATAAACTATTTTTTTTATACATACAATATGGATGTTAAATCGAAGCTCATCAAAAGAAGATTAATTTGATATATTGCATATGTAAAACTGATAAAAAATACAAAAATTATTAACTTTTAAAATATATATACAATTCAATAGTTATAATAAAGAATGATATTAAAATGCAATTAATATATGTAACATGACCATAAATAATCAATATATTTATGGTAATCCGAACCTAACCACATAGAATTTTGAAGCACCAGAAGCAGCCATGTAGGCTCAGCGCTTTCTGAATTAATATATAGGGGGGATTTGCTGTAAATACCATCGATCTTACTAGGCTAAAAACTATATTTGCTGTAAAAACCATCGATTTAATGTTATATTTGCTGTAAATTCAGTCATACTTGTCTAATCATCCATATTATAATTCTCGAATGCGCTGAGCCTACGTGGCTGCTTCTGGTGCTTCGGAATCCTACTTGGCGAAGAATCATGTTTCGTAATTAGGTTGGGACAAATAATATTGATATATTAATTATTAATAATCTAGGTTCGGACATTCCATAAATATTATTTAGCTAACTTAGGTATTTTAATATCACTTGTACTAATATAACCCTTTAATTCTTTGTAATTTTATATAGTGAGTCACTTAGTGACTAATATATCCCTGACTTTTGATTTGTTTCATACAATTTGCTATTGAATTGTAACTGTATTTTAAAAGTTGATAACTTTTGTATTTCTTATCAGTTTTACATATATAATATATCAAATTAATCATCTTTTGATGATATTCGATTTGACATCTATATTATATATATGAAATAAATAAATTATATTTATCTTTATAATAATAAAAAATAATAATATTTACTAAAATTTATTAGAACAAAGAAATTATTTCTCAATTGATATATTTATGTTTAATGTAGTTATATGTTGTAAGTTAAAAAAATTAATATAATATAACACAAATAAGTCGTACAAATAAAAGGTGTCATACTAAATATAATAATATAAATATTTTTAAAAGGTATTTAAATTTCCAACTACATTTTCTCATTAATTTTAGATTTTAAGAAAAAAACTAGCAATCACCCGTGTAATACATATAAACACAAAACTTCAGACAAAGAACCTTTGGTCTATTTTTTTTGTCCTAGAAAAAACCTTGGATCCCATGTATTAATTATTATATACATATATATAATCACTTTAAAATTACGTTTTTAGCCTCACTTGACTACATGAGAACCTCTATAAAAAGTTCAATAGCTTATAGCATAGCTGTGTATCTTAACTTATCATGAAGTTCCCAAGTTTGGCTGCCATGGCTGTTGCACTGCCTTTTCTCCTTATAGCTCTTTCTCTGGATTTTGCAGGTCAGTTTCCTTTAATCTCTTGGTTAAAAAAGTAGCTAATCAACCAACTTATTGCATTATATATATATGAAAAAGTAAAATATTTCAACTCAAGGCTAAAATTAATATTCATTGAAATTATAAATTATCTGGAAATTTTATATAATTGAAATTTTTAGTTGAAATTTGACCATGGTCTTTGTAAGATCTTCAGTTGGAATACACAATTTCCATCGAAAATTTTCTTTTCCACCACTTTTGGAAGAACTAAATTGGCGACAGAATCGTTAAAATCCAACGAGAATTCTAATAAACAACTAATTCCAACGGAATATTTCCGTTGTAATTTTCATATTGTATAATTTAGACCTGACATAACATTAATAGAATACAATTTTGGTATTATTAATTCAACCATGCATACATGGATGAACATACTGTGGCGCTCCAATTCGTTCTAACCGTCCGTCTCTTGATCGAATCCGTGCAGCCGCCCAGATCGGGATCGCGTACGGGAGGAACGGGATGGGACTACCACCCCCGCCCAGAGTCGTGGAGATACTCAAGCAACACAACATCCAACGGATGCGGATCTTCGACACCGACCGGGCGACCCTCGACGCCCTTCGAGGCTCCGACATCGAAGTCACCGTCGGCATCCTCAACCCGGATCTAGGCCCCCTCGCCTCCGACCCGAATGCCGCCGTCAGCTGGGTCCGCGAAAACATACAACCATACCACCCAGACGTCAAATTCCGCCACGTCGTCGTCGGGAACGAGATCATGCCCGAGAACCCGGACACGGGAATGTTTGTCCCGCTCGTCCTCCCGGCCATGCGCAACATACACGATGCCTTGTGCGCCGTGCCTGGCTTGCGCGATGCGGCCGTGAAGGTCACCACAGCCGTCAGCACGGAGGTCGTGGACCCCTCCTCGAACTTCCCACCGGAGAACGGGACTTTCCGTGATGATGTGGCGCCGTACCTCGACCCGATCGTCGGGTTCTTGTCCGACACGGGTGGCCCGCTCTTCGCCAGCGTGTACCCTTACTTCGCCTACGTGGCGGACCAAATGGGCGCGAGGGTAATTGACATCCGGTACGCCCGGCTCGACCCAGATTTCCCGGGGGTTACAACCATGTACGGGAACACGTACAAGAATTTGTTTTACGCGCTCCTTGACACGGTGAACGCGGCTGTGGACAAGAGCATTGGGAAGATGGTGAGCACGGATGCCGGAAATCGGACGCCGCCGGACGTTGTTTCAGGGGAGAGCGGAAACCCAACTCTTCGTGGCCATGGTGGAGGTCGGTCAACCGTGGGAAAGAATTCCGGCAATGAGGTGGCGGCGGAAGCTGTCGAGGGAGGGGATATGGGGACCACCGAGAACGCGGCTCGATACATAAACAACTTGATACAGGCGGCGAAGTGCGGGACGCCGCTAAGGCCTGGGAGGCCTATAGAGACGTATATTTTTGCTATGTTTGACGAGAGCGATAAGCCCGGGGATGAGGCCGAGAGGAATTTTGGGATCTGTAAGCCTGACGGTGAGACCAAGTACCCAATAAATTTCAACTGAAGGCTGCCATTGATGAGTTCTGTTATAAGTATGCTAGCTATCACAATGTATGAATAAGTGAAGTGATTGTAACTATTGTATTTAATTGATGCTATGTTGCATCAAGTAGTAACATCCACTTAAAGATGGTGTATTACAACCTCATCTCCATTAAGTATGGAGTTATGAGAAGTGTGCTTAAAGTCTTCATTTAATTGTGTTCCATGAAGACAAGTATAAATATGATGCTTTGTGCATCATGAAAAGTACACTACGAGACAAATAAACAAACAAGAGAAATATACATAATCTTTATTTAGTGCATATTCTCTTGTTGAGCCGAAACCATCAAGGCGGCTCGGGTTTTAGAACGTGGAGGATACCGACGACTCTAGTAGCCGTCGGATAAAAGATATACGGGCAAGTAATCGCTTCCGCTACATAAATGTCAGTCCTATATATATTTATATATGCGTTATATAAAACCACTTACAGTGGTATCAGAGCCCGTTTATTCCTCCGACGATTTTTTTGTAAAACAAATATATTTATATATTTGTTACATAAAATTCATTCTATTGATTAACTAAGTGTTTAATATAGAATGAATGTCATTCATGAATTTGTGATCATGAAGATGATTTAAAAAAAAAAAAAATGATATGGGGGAATAAATTAGGTTTTGTTGCCTAATTAATGTATAAATAAAGATTTTAATGTGAAGAAGATACAAATGATTTTACCAATCTCTTTATTATATCTTCTTCTTTCATATTATTTTACTAATAATGATATTTGTTATTATTATGATATTTATATGGTATTCATGTTTACCATTACATAAAGATTATTTTGAAATTATCATAATATTTGTTATTATGATGAAAAGAATAAATCAATATTTTAGTAATATTGTGTGACTTCTTATTATTATTTAAATTATCTAAGTGATATTTAAATAATTATTTAATATGATACATGAATATATGTTATTCATGTTACTAGACGTAAATATCTTTGTGATGTTTATATTTATTTAATACAATACATGAATATATGTTATTCATGTTACGAGACTTAGTAGATATCTTTGTGATATTTATATTTGTGTTTATTTGTTAAACAATAACATGAATAAATGAATATGTTTCACTAAAATAAGGTTAATTAAATTATATTTATTCTTGTTTGTGTTATTTGTGATGATTATGAGCTTGGCGAAATTCTCGAACTCATGGCATAAACAAAAATAAAGTTGATAATTTAATTATATTGACCTCATGCCTAATATCCATTTTATATACTTGTAGATGACAACTAAATCCATGATTGGAGATTTGTCCTCCAACGAAAAGCTAGATGGTACCAATTACGACATCTGGCATAGGAAGATTCAGTATCTTCTTAATGAACGCGAGGTTTTGGAAACCTTGTCCACTACTGTGATTGAGCCAAAGGATACTGCTAGTGCGCAGTACAAGGAAGAATTGACAAACTATCAGACGTGGTCCAAAAAGGATCGTTCTGCACGTTATACTATGTTGTATTGCATGCATAATGATCTTATTGGAGAGTTTGAGAATTGTCCCACGGCTAAAGACATGTGGGACAAGCTTAAGGTCACCTTTGGGCAAACTTCGGCTACTAGGTTGCGTGCCTTGAACTTAAAGTGAATGGATTACAATATGGATCTTAAACACTCTGCTGCCGAACATTTGCGTGTCATGAGTGCCATGATACGTGACCTGAAAGCTGCGGGACGAGATGTATCTGACGAGGAGCAAGTTCTAAATGTGGTTCGTTCACTTCCAAATGATTCTGAGAATTGGAAGAACTTCAAGCTCCTCATGGCTCATAGCGAGAATGTAAAAACTTTTTCAGAACTCGCTAAACATATTGAAATGGAAGTAGAACGTCAGAGAACGTTAGCACCTTCCAATGTTGCATTTGTTGCCCATGGTGGTCAAACCAAGGGAAATAAGCGCAACCGAGCCAAGAAATTTTCCCGTCCTTCTCAAACTTTTGGATCAGATGGTGGTTCAAAGAAACAACTTATGGCACATGGCCAAAGGGAGAAGAAAATAGCGCGTGTGAAGTGCTATAATTGTGGACAGAAAGGTCATTTCGCTCGTGATTGTGCTGAGCCGAAAAAGGTACCTTCTACCACTAACTCTTTTGAACTATTTGTTTGTTCTCATGCATTAGTTGCTAATTCTATTCCTAATTGGATTATAGATACGGGAGCAAGCAAGCACATAGTTCATGAAAGATCTGGATTTGTGGAGTTTCACCGGTTTCTTATTGGCACTCAAACTGTCATGTTAGGAAATGGGAGCGAGGAAGATGTCCTTGGGGTTGGAACATACCAACTTAAACTCCATGGTGGAAATACACTACTCCTGCATGATACTCTCTATGCACCCGGGGTGCGAAGTTGTTTACTTTCAGTTGTTTCCTTGTTAAAACTTGGTTTTTTCTTTAACTTCAATACTAGCGGTTTGGACATTTTGTATCATTCGGACATGGTATATTAAAGAATGGTTTCTTTGTTCTTGACTTGGATGAAAGTTATAATGACTCATCACATGCTTTTGCTTCATTTTATAATGTTGATTCTGAATCTGTTAAATGGCATGCGCGACATGGTCATATTGGTCAAGATAGAATGTCAAGACTAGCTAAAGAAGGACATTTGGGACAATTAACTAAGGTTAAATTGCCTAAATGTGAACCTTGTCTAGCTGGAAAAGCTACTAAAAAGCCTTTTGGTAAGGCATCAAGAGCATCAAATCCTTTAGAGCTGATTCATTCTGATATTTGTGGGCCTTTAAATATAAAAGCTCGTCATGGGGCTACATATTTTATTACCTTTATAGATGATTATTCACGTTTTGGGTATGTGTACCTATTATCTCATCGACACGAAGCACTTGATACGTTCAAACGTTTCGTGGCCGAAATTGAAAATCAAAAGGAACGAAGAATTAAGACTCTTCGTACTGATCGGGGATGTGAATACCTCTCTGATATGTTCAAAGAGTTTTGTGAGGCTAAAGGTATTTCAAGGCAACTTACGGTTCCATATACTCCGCAACAAAATGGTGTTGCTGAAAGAAGAAATCGTACATTACTGGACATGGTTAGGTCGATGATGGCGCAAGCCAATCTCCCTATTAAATTTTGGGGAGATGCGTTGCTTACGGCAACATACATACTTAATCGTGTACCAAGTAAAAGTGTGTCACTCACTCCATATGAGTTGTGGAATGGGAAATCACCCATTTTGGATCATTTGCACCCTTGGGGTTCGGCTGGCTATGTGCATAACCAAACTCACAAGTATGGAAAGCTAGGTCCAAGAGCTACCAAAATGGTGTTCATTAGATACCCTGAACATTCAAAAGGGTATGTTATGTTTGGTGAACATCCAGATGGTGGAATGACTGAGATAGACTCACGCAATGTCGATTTTCTTGAGGATGAGTTCCCAAGTATTGGTGAAATTAAGAGAGACCTTCAGTTGTATGAGTTACAACAAGAAATACAAGTATCTTTAGGAGATGAGGGGGATATGTTATCTCAACAGGTCTCCAAAGATAGCGAAGTTCTTCTAAATTCCACTAGTGAAAAACAAACTCAAAATGAGGATGAGCCTCATAGAGAAGAGCACGAGATAAGTCATCGAGCTCATAGTCCCATGCCTCTCGAGGATAGTGGGAGATATTTTTCTACTAGTTTGGAAAATAATGAAGGTCCTACTTTGAGAAGGAGTGATCGTGGAAGAATTCCTCGTCGATTTTTTCAAATTGAGGAGGATGTATTCCTTTGTACTCCTTTAGAAGTAGATGAACCGAACTCTTATAAAGAGGCAATGAATTCACCATATAATTCAGAATGGAAAGATGCAATGAATGATGAGATGGACTCAATGATTAAAAATAATGTTTGGGAACTTGTTGACCTTCCATCTCATCGTCGATCAATTGGATGTAAGTGGATATTCAAAATCAAGCGTGGGGTGGATGGATCCATAGAAAAGTTCAAAGCTCGTTTAGTAGCGAAAGGTTTTACCCGAATTGAAGGTATAGATTACGATGAGACATTTTCTCCTGTGGTGAGATTTGCCTCCATTCGTCTTCTTTTGGCCCTGGTTGCCCATTTGGATTTAGAATTATTTCAAATGGACGTAAAAACAGCTTTCCTCAATGGTTCTCTTGAGGAAGAGATATATATGGATCAACCTATTGGGTTTGTCCCAAAAGGGCAAGACAATAAAGTTTGTCGCCTCAAAAGATCTATATATGGTCTCAAGCAGTCTTCCAGACGATGGTATCTCAAATTCCATGAAGCCATTTGTGCATTTGGTTTGACCATGGTTGATGAGGATCATTGTGTGTATGTCAAGAAAAGTGAAGAAGGAATTTTGTTTCTTTCTTTATACGTTGATGACATATTGTTGGCTGGAAACGACATGGGAATGATCAACGACACTAAGCAGTGGTTGTCCTCTAATTTTGAAATGAAGGACATGGGTGAAGCTAGGTATGTCCTAGGAGTGGAAATAATGCGAAATCGTCCTAAGAAACTTCTTGGTTTGTCTCAAGAAACATATATTAAAAGAATCTTAGAACGTTTTCGAATGCATTATTCCAAACCCGTTGATACTCCAGTCGAAAAGGGTTTAACCTTAAGTCTTGATCAATGTCCGAAAACAGATGAAGAAAAACATAAAATGAGTAATGTTCCATATGCTAGTGCAGTAGGAAGCTTGATGTATGCCATGTTATGTACACGACCAGACATCTGCTTCTCGGTTGGCATGGTAAGTCGTTACCAAAGCAACCCTGGGCCTGCACATTGGCAAGCTGTCAAGAGAATCTTGCGGTACATGCGTGGTACAAGTGACTTGGTACTTTGCTATCAAGGTGGGTCCTTGAAATTAAAAGGATACTCGGATGCTGACTGGGGTGGCGATCTGGATGAGTCAAAGTCAACTTCAGGATATGCATTTATATTCGGTGGAGGTGCAATATCCTGGTGCAGTAAAAAAAAGATTGCATAGCCCTTTCGACTATGGAAGCTGAGTATGTTTCCAGTAGCGTTGCCGTTCAAGAGGCAATATGGTTGAGGAATTTTCTACAGGATCTCAACCTCACCCCAAAGGTTGATGAACCTGTAGAAATGCATTGTGATAATACTGCTGCTATCCAGTATGCCCAGGATCCGAAGTTTCATAGAAAAACCAAGTATATCAAAAGGCGTTATCATTTTGTACGAGACGCAATAAAAAATAAAGAAGTTGTCATTAAGTATATACCCACAAATAAAATGATAGCTGATCCTTTAACTAAACCTATACGCAGAGATGCTTTCCAAACTCATGTGAAGAGTCTTGGTTTGCGTAGGTTTTAATTTTATTTTTGTGTGATAATGGATGTGTAAAATGTTACACCGAACATATATGAAATTTGTTGTTCTTTGATATGTTCTTTAGCATATGTTGCATAAGTAGGCATGAGTAAAGATGTCACCAGGCTTTTGATTACGCTTATCACACAGGTAATCGCCCTATCACATTAGTTGTGAGTAATAGGATGAGACTATGCCATATTCATATTACGTGTATGTAGTATGGATTGTATTTATACTTTTGTTGTATAAATATATTTTTACAGTCGCCTTAGTAAGTCTAAGATGAGACTCTAACGAGTCGAATATGAAATAATCCTGATTTCATATCAAAGCCTTGAAGCCGAATCTCGAGTGGAAGATAAATTATTAAGTATAATTATCAAGTGGCTCGGGTTAGATACTTGAGTAGTATCTAGACTATAGATTCGTATAACATAGTAGAGTGACATGCCCATCATAGTGGGAGCTATGTTATGACACGTATATCATACTGCGTGTGCTTTGAACGACCGTTAAGGATTGACAAATGACTCCCTACTTTGTCAAGGTGTGAATCCTATGGATTTTGTTGTCCAACTTTGTACGGAGCCTTTTGACTTAGAACTATGTTATGAAATTGAGACTTAGTGTTGCTACTTTAATATGTCATCCAAGAGCTATGATCGATACAGTTCGACGGAGCATGTTAGGAAAGCAACTAAGTTGAGATGAAGTTTCAGTAGTGTCTAAGAAATAACTTATTCAACTTCACCACATTAGCCCGGGCGGTTGTATTTGAATATAACCATGTTGTGTATATAGCATATAGGGACTGTGTATGCTATCGGTGATTTTTGAACAGTTAGAGGTTGTCGTAAATATGAAAGTGTTATGTTAGTTAGATGGTAACTTAATATAACGCTGTTATCGTTGCATTTGGTCGCACGCTCTATTACCCGTATGAGGCAAGAGATTTGCTAATAAAGATTTGTTGTTATAATCTCGGCTTAAGTGGCTGAGTGGGAGTATTGTATTTAATTGATGCTATGTTGCATCAAGTAGTAACATCCACTTAAAGATGGTGTATTACAACCTCATCTCCATTAAGTATGGAGTTATGAGAAGTGTGCTTAAAGTCTTCATTTAATTGTGTTCCATGAAGACAAGTATAAATATGATGCTTTGTGCATCATGAAAAGTACACTACGAGACAAATAAACAAACAAGAGAAATATACATAATCTTTATTTAGTGCATATTCTCTTGTTGAGCCGAAACCATCAAGGCGGCTCGGGTTTTAGAACGTGGAGGATACCGACGACTCTAGTAGCCGTCGGATAAAAGATATACGGGCAAGTAATCGCTTCCGCTACATAAAGGTCAGTCCTATATATATTTATATATGCGTTATATAAAACCACTTACAGTAACAAACATTTGGGATTATTAATAAGGAAAGTGATATATTGATGATATTGATCCGTAGTCTCTGATCTTATCTGTAGTCTGTACCGTAATCAATACCCGAGTCGTTGCAAAAGGTCGGCTATCTCCAAATTTCAACGTGTCCGGTAACAAGCTGGATGGCAAAATCCCAGACGACGGCCCTTTCCGTAATTTCACAGGTCAATCGTTCTCTCACAACCCCAACTTGTGTGGGTAATTTCACAGCCCAATCGTTCGCTCACAACCCCAACTTGTGTGGGCCCGCCAGATTTGGCGTGCCGCCCTGCAGCAACTCAGAGGGAAAAAAAACGGCTCTAACGGTAGTCATCAAATACGCGATTCCCTCGTTCATCGCTGCTGCAGCTATAGTGGTGGCAGTCGCCACAGTCTCGTTTGCGAACCGGCATTATAGGAGGAGAGAGAGAGAGAGAGAGAGAGAGGGCCCCACAAGACGAGATTCCCGTCAAGGCGATTTACAGGAGGATCTAGTACCACGAGCTCGGGAGGGGCGGGTTCGGGTCGATTTACCGGGTGTCCCTCGATGACGGGTCGGACGTGGCTGTCAAGGTGTTCGATTTGAGGAAGGAGGGGGCACACAGAAGCTTTGGCAAGGACAGCGAGATATTGAGCACGATAAGGCACCGAAACTTGGTCCTGATTATCGGGTGCTGTGCCAACACGGAATTTCGAGAGCTGATTCTCGGGTATATGCGCAACCGAAGCCTCGGAAAGTGACTGCGTACGGAAGAAAACTTCTTGGATCTCGGGCAGAGGGTGAGTGTCGCGACAGATGTCGCGCTGGCATTGTAGTATCTTCATCACGGCCACACGTTTCCGGTTGTTCATTGTAACGTGAAGCCGAGCAATGTGTTGCTCGACGAGGATATGATTGCATATGTCGGGGATTTCGGGATTCGAAGCTTTTTCACGAGGGGGAGACGATGGTTTTGACCGAGACGTTGGCCACTATCGGCTATGCAGCACCAGGTGATGTATTATGTTTGATTCTCCAATTAAACTTTGAATTATTTCTTTTCATCCTGAAACTAAAATGTCGGTCGTGCGAGCAGAGTACGGGTCGGAAGGGAAGGTGTCGACGAGTGGGGATGTATACAACTACGGGATATTGTTGCTGGAGATGTTCACCAGAAAGAAGCCGACCGACGACACATTTAGCTCGGAAATGAGCTTGCACGTGTGGGTAAGCCGAGGATTGGCGCGGGAAAACGGGCCGAACGAGGTCGTGGGCCATGGTCTACTGCCGAGAGAAAACAACCCAGATTTCCCGGCACACAAAGAGTGCGTCTTGTCAGTTTTCGAACTGGCCACTAAATGTTTGGGTTTCTCGGCCGATGAGAGGATCAACATGGTACAGGCAGTGGCGGCTCTGCACAACATCAAGGCCAACCTTGCGGCAGCAAATAACAGAAAACATACCAAAAAATAAATGATAACCTGTGTTTTGGTGGTAAGTAGTATATTTCATATTGTAATATACCAAAAATTGGAAGTTCGAACCTACCGGCGAGGGCCGAGTAATTTTTACAGTAAAAAACACACTCACACCCACGAGTGGTGAGCTATAATGATGTCGAGTTTTTAGAGTGTGACAAGTAACATAGAAGCTATAGTCACAAACACATTCTGGTCTTTTATCAAATGATCATCGATACCTCCACAACCTCATGATCTCTATTCAATGAATGCTGTCAAACTGCTAAGATGTAAGATCAACTCCTTTGATTACTCGGTTAATGTAATGTCCGAATCTAATCACAATGTTCAAAGGAAAAACAAATCATCACTATATATATAGTTCCTTAAAGAAGCCAGAAGTAGCTTTCATTTACCTATATATGTGTGAGATTGCAAAATAAAAGGGGAAGAATTTCAATATTAAAAAAAGCACGAGCTCGGCATATATACGCGCGCGCACCCTCACAACCCATACGATCCAAATACTATCAATCAAAAAATATGTATATTATTTTTTATGATTTTTATAAACCAACTATGAATAAACGACACACAAAACACCCACAGCACACACCAAAGACAATTACGCAAAACAAAGTTTCCACATAACTCCCACGTTTAACTTTTAAGTAGCTTTTACATACTAATGAAATCATTGGGCAACATAAGGCATGACCTTGTACCGGTAAAGCAGCTTCTTCTTCTTGTTAGTCGGGTTATCAACGGTGAGCAGTATCTTGCCAAGTTCGCTAATGCTGAAACTGTTGGACACAACAGGCTCGTCAGTTGGGAGCATTTTCCTCGACTTTTGTATGATCACAGTGTAGGCACGTTCAGCGTTCGGGACATATTCTGCACTGTAGCTCACTTCCCAGCCCACGACACGAAGCTCCCAGACGAGCGTGCATTTCTGACAAATCAAAAGATAATCAGTTGATTAAATAAATTAAAACAACAATCGTTCACTAGCAAGGCACACCCAATTGAGCTAAATTTAGTTTGTTAGTCTCGTAATTCCCAAGCATTACTGATTATTCTTGCCTTCTTATAATCTAGGATGACAAATTTTGATTTTGATCATTAGTCGTTGGAAATAGAAATTCATTAAAGCCATGTAACTGTTTTGAACAATTTAGGCATTTATTCATAATTGGAGAAATTAAAACATAGTGGTTTGAACCAAAGAACCAAAAATTTGCCAATGTGCATACTTAGAAGCCAATTTCTAGGGCATATAAGGAGAAAAATTTTGCAGCTATGCTCAATCAATGAAGGTAAAGAAAAACATAACAAACCTCATTTACTATAATTTCGACGGTTTGTTTAGTAGAAGGTTTGACAGTGATCTCCATGGCTGGATCATCCACGGTAAATTCTGGGTTGCATTCACAGTAATCAACGCTCAGGCCACCATATTGAGTCGGCACTTGCTCGGGCAATATGTACCTATTTTCACCAATAACGAAAAAATAATAAAAACCAAGTTGTTTTATAAAAGGAAAAAAAAAACATATGATTATTATGGAAATACTAATTGAACTACACACTTGAAAAGGGTTTCAGGAGTCTTTGTTGGGCCAGAGAATACAAATTTACTCTTGGTCCGTTGAGTAAGAAATGGACTCATCATAGTATAGAAAGCCAGGTACCACCATGGAACATTGACGAAAACCTGTAAATCGAAAAGGCCGTCACCTCGATTTTGAATATATGAAATCTAAAAGAACACAAACAGCAGGTACTATTATCTTCCCACAAGTTCCCATTTCCAGAGCATTTATAAAGGCAGACAAATAATTTCAAAGAATGTGAGGTAAGTTCATTTGCATAGAAAAAGATACTTCTTTTGATCAACATATGCTAACTCTGCACACAAAGAACAAATTTACAGAAACAAAGACATTGGAAAAATTACGAGCAACACCGATGCATCAAACATAAACACAAGATAAATGCAATAGTATCATCATATTATTCTACCTGCTTCGCGACAAACTCAGGATAATTATCCTGCAGAATCTGCAATGCCTGTTTAGTAGCGATCCTTAGTTCCCTTTTCCCGGGCCCGGGAGAATTCTTGAGATCACTAATCTGAAAGATAGTATTAATCCCACCAGGACTGAAGTCTAACTTCCTTATACTCCTCTCAAGAAACTGAATCCTCCACCTCAAAAATTTGGTTCTTTTCTCCTCGTCCCCGAATGTCCGAGCATATAATTCTTTGTTCTGAAACTCTCCGTACACATTGTAACACACCGGGTGACCTTCTTTGTCGTGACCGTGCATAAAGACGACTTTTTCAAGATCGTCCCCCAAATCCTCCTTAATTAGTTCATCCACATTGAAGTCCATCCTCCATTTCATGGTGTTTTTGAGCATGGAGAATGATTCCTTGACTTTGAAATCGCGGGCTCGTAGGAATTTGAGCAGGATGACATCACTCCTATCGTCACTCAGCAGGGGCACTCCCCAGATCGATACTTGTTCGGGATGTTTGACGGGTTCGGAAGTGGACCCGCCGCTAAAGACGCCATTTTTAAGTGCTTCTTGAACTAGGAGCTTGAAGTCTTCTAGAGCTTTCAGCTCGAGATGGGACAGATCTGAGATCTTGTTGCTCTCTTCCTTAAAAGAAGCGAATGATTCCGGCGCTTTAAGCTTTTCGGCTGTCTGTTTCTCCTTTTCCGGCAACATTACCTCTTTGAGTTCGGTTTTGGGGGATTCGGATTCCTGCGGTACCGCCAGAGCCGCTGCTAGCGGCTGGGAAGCGGCGGCGGCGGAGACGGTGACGAGCTCGGCCGCGAGCGGTGGCTCGGGCGGCGGGAGATCCAGAGGGGTGTCCTTTTCGACCACCGTCACGGCCTCTTTCAACTTGTTCTCGACCATCGGCGGGGGAGAGTCCTTCTGCAGGTCCAGCGGCACCGAAGCTAGGGGTGGTTCGGGGAGGGATTCCGGTTCGACCGACGGCGTGGGAGGGAGCTCGTTGAAGGGCTCCGGTTCTTGGAGCGGCGGCGCTTCGGTTTGCTCCACTGAGGGCGGCGGCTGGGGCTGTGTGGATGCGGCGGTTTCATCGGCCATACTTTTTTTATCAAGGTTTGTATGTCTGGTTTCAGGAACTTTGGACTGAGGTTTTTTCTCTTTTCTTGGTTCTTAATAATGGAATGATAACGACGAAGGGGACCAAAAGGCCATTGTTTTTCAATTTATTTTTCAGTTTATCCTTATGCCGCGTTTGGCGTGCTATGAAATGAGAGATAAACTAGTCGAGTTGGGTCGAACAAATAATTATTCATTATCAAGTATGAACCTTTCTCAAGGTGAGTTAATTAAACCCTTTTATAAACAAGCTTGATATCAACACGTTTATCATCAATTGCAATGAGCCAAATACGTAACTTAAAGAGTAAAACTCAAACATTAAAAATTATAATTATAAAACACTACATAAAACAAAAAATTCTTTTGAGTTTTCGCGAATCAAATTGATGAGCTCAAATCACCCATGAAAATAGTCAAACCGAACTCACAAACAACTAGCTCGTTTCATAAATTACTCGACCATAAATTAATATTGCATGGAAAATTAAATGATGAAGTCAAAAGTACTAAATGCTCTCACTAAAAAAAAAAAATATTAAAATGAAGTCAAAACAAAGATGAATTATTACTGAAATTAATTAGTATGTGCCTTTAAGGCATTATGAGCCATACACTAATTGACCTTAAAACTCAAAGTCTCGTGCATAAAAATGTTATTAGTACAACGTAGGAATTGATGGCATTTCCAAATTTTTTTTTTTGAGTTTTGACAAAACATTTTACATCAATGAAGTAAAAGCAAAATAATGAAAATCTTTTCAGAATAACTTTGTTACACATTATTTTTCCATTTGTCTTCAACTATGCTTATACACAGACAGCCAAACACACCTTTAGATAGGGTGAGATTTTATCCGACTATTTTTATATTTGAAAATTATTTAAAGTAATATTTATCTCTTTTAGGACAAAGATAGAGAGAGAGAGGATCACGCGGACAGTGAGGTGTCTCGTGTTTGGGGCTGACACAAGTGTAATAATTAAAAAAGGGAATCCTAGGCCATCAATATTTATCCATTCATTAATAATATAAATAAAACATTAGTGATTTAAATCTGGGATTAATTTAACTTAACATGTTTGGAATTTGGCTAAAATACGCGTTGAACTTGTTAATATTGACAAACGATATGTACTTTTATGGGTTTACTTAATTAATTGTTCCATTCGACTTGATAACGACTCTGAATCGAGCTCGGCTCTGAATTGAGCTCGACTCGTTTATCTCTACGTACATTTTATCAGCGATGATGATAGGCACGAGATCTTGAGTTGAAATTTTGCTTTTTTCACAAGTAGTGATTTCTATAGGGCAATGCTATATGTACACCCCTTTTTAATAAATTACACAAAGGGCAATGCTATATGTACACCCATTTTTTACACACAGGGGGTGTACATATAGACACCCCCTTTCTATACTAGCACTTTGACTTTTTGTGTTTCATTGTCATGCTTATTTTGATATCATCTTCCATTTTTTATTCAAGTAACACATTCAATTGTTGGGAATTCTCACCTACTTTTAGCCATAGGGTTTTCAATGCACGTATTGATTTTTAGCTGGATTCTACTTTTGGAAAAGCTCGTGCGTTACTTTTGAGCTGTGTATTGCTGCAAAGCCCAATTAGTCCAACTATTAAGATCAAACCATTAGGCACCCAATTACAATTGTTGGGCCGTATTGTAGTGGGACAAATGATGGGAAACGACTTAAGCCCATCTAACATTTAAAATTCCAATAAAATTGAAATAAATTTACATTTTGTGCTGTACTCCTATTGGTTAATAATTGAGGGAAATGCTACAGTCCCGTTACGGAACAATTCCGTCGGGATTTGTAAATGTTAGATCATCATCTAACCGTCGTGGATAGTTAATCTAACGGTTATAAACCTCGACGGAATGGTTCCCTAACGGGACCGTAAAATTTCCCAATAATTGAAAGCATGTATATATAGTTAAAAATTAAGTAATTTGGAGGGAGAAAAAGGCAAAAGTTGGTGAATTTGTTACAAAACTAGTTGTTACCCGTGCATTTGCACGGAAAACTATATGATAAAAAATAAAATAATAAAAAATATAAACAATAGTAAAAATTATAACATAATCATTGAAAAAAAAGTTTTAAGAAAGAAAATTCAAATATAATTAAACATTTCTTTATATACAACGTCCATAATTTTTCGAAGCCCAATCTGATTTCTTGATGTAGCCCAATAAAAAAAATTAGTAAAAGAATATTTTAAATAAGCCACAACCATTATTTTTCTTATAACTTAAGCCCAAACATTCGCATCCCATTGTTTCATGAACAATGCCCAGACAAAATTAAACAATAAATTCTTTTTCGGGCCATTTCGGTCAAATAAAGTTGATTTCGTTTGAATCCAAGTAGTATTAAGGCTGATGTTTTTTTTTTTTTTCTTGGGGGGGGGGGGAATTGGGCCAAATTAAACATAATCCAAATGGATGGACCCATATAGCACGGTCAAAGCTTCACCCACCACACAAATATAGAACATTCAACAAAGTGGTAGAGACAGGTATTTAATGCCTAAAACCCTACCACCTGCAACATTTTCGTCGTTTTTTTCTTCACTTTTAATCTTTTTTTTTTTATTTATCAGAGACAAATACTTGGATCAATTCTGATTTTGTTTAGCCGTTGTAGACATGATTTTAATTTATACATGCCTTACATCATGAAAAACAAATTTCAGCCCAGTAGTTACTTCATTGTTTGTCGAAAATTTCTTTGACTAAAATCGAATCAATCGCAATATTGTAGTTTTTTTTTGTTCTTAGCCAAGAAAATCATATTATCAAACTGCACTGCCATTTGGAACTCAAAAGAAATATGTTGTGTCGAAATAGTTTTTTCGGTGACTGCGATTATGAGTGTGGAATGCAAAGTGAAAAATGTGTTTGATTTTTATTTTATTTATAAGCACCTACAGAAGTCTATTAACTAATTAGTGTAAATACCAACAAATCAAGAGCATGATTAGTTGAAAATATTTTGATAACTGGAAAAATATGAACTATATAATAGTGGCGCATTTGATATGATTTTTGAAACTGAAATTTATGTTCCGCCAACTAAAGATTTTATTTTTAGAGTCAAAATTTATGTTTTTGTTTGTATTTATTAGTTAGACATGTGCTTCTATCATATAAAATTATTATTTTTTCTTAAGTTATTTTTATCATTCAAAATCAATTGGGATTTAAATTGTATTTTAACCATGCAACGTTTATATTAGTAACATGAATAAAATAATTTATATATTTGTAGCATATATTAAAAAAATTAACATAAATAATAAAAAATTATTGGTGTTTCTGATTTTTAGAAAAAAAATATATATGTGTCAATCATGCACAAATGTACATATAATATTATAAGTAATATTTGAGAATTTAATATTAAAATTTTAGATAATGAACATATTACATTTTCAAAAATTTGATTATTAGAAAAAAAAATAACGATTTTATTATTATGAAATATTGTATATTACCATTAGATACTAATTATTTAATTATTATTCTTATTATTATTATTATTATTATTATTATTATTATTATTATTATTATTATTAAAACAATTGTTTATAAGATTCTAAAGTTGTTTGACTATGGTTTTATAATAATTTACTAATTATTTTTAAAGAAATTTTTTCATGAGATACAAAAGAAAAAGATAATATTGATGTTAAAATAAATAACTTAAAACAATTGTTCTTAATTATGTAATTTATATTTATTGTGAATTATTATTAGTTTATATTAGCAATAACTATTATATAATATAATAGAAAAATACATGATTATACTCATTATGATGTATTAATGTGAGAAATAAAAAATATTAATGATAATTTTTGTAACCGAAAATGGAGGAAAAATGTTAGAGGTTTTATTAAATAGGTAAAATTAAATGATATATGCTAGCAATTATATATATATATATATAGATATATACAGTCAACTAATCACTGAGCCTGACCCAGTGTAATTGGGCCTATTAAATGGTTAGGCTGGGAAACTTTGTATGGTTACGGCCCAAAACGAAAAGATAATTATAATTAAAATTAATTAAAGAGATGGAGGAGAAACCGGAACCCAGACGCGAAAATTGCAGCCGTGAGAGAAAAAATGGCCGACGAGAGCAAAGCTGAGATTCCGGCGAAGCACGATTTGAATGAGAAGTGGGACGACTGCCTCGATTTAGTTCTCCGTCGCTTTTCGTGTTCTTCGATCGCCGGCGGTTTCACTGGAATTCTTTTCTTCCGTGAGTGTTTATATCTTCATATCCTCAACCCACTAAGTGCTTCTTTGGTGGTGATAATTTTGGTGTCTAGAATTTGATTTGTTCATCCGAGAATTGGATTGTTTATTTCAAGTTATGTATGGATTAGATTGGGGATATTTTGGTTAGGTTTTTTGTAAATATGCATAATCAGTCTATAATTTGCTACAGAGAAGATGCATTTGTTACAATATGAGCTGATTGAGTTAGTAGTTGAGCTTCGATATCAGACTGGATACGAATTGATCTGATTTAGGTTTTCGTGAATATGCATAATCAGTTTGTAATTTGCTACATAGAAGTTGGTACAATATGAGCTGATTGAGTTAGTATTTGAGTTTCGATATCAAACTGGATTTGTACGATTTGATCTAATTTTTGGGTCGGTTTGATTGGGTACTGAGCTTTTGAATGGATGTTTGTGTTATACGGATCGATTTGCTCAATTAGCTTT